GGAAACCATGGGACCTATGTTTCTTTGGGCTTGGCTTACTTCACTTAATATAATTTTTTCCAAGTCTTTCCATTTCCTAACAAATGGGACAATGTCATTCTTTCTGATGGAGGCATAGAATTCCATTGTATATATACACCACATTTTCTTGATCCATTCGTCTACTGAGGGGCATCTGGGTTGGTTCCATATCTTAGCTATGGTAAATAAGGCTGCAATAAACATAGCTGTGCTGGTAGCTTTAGTGTGGCCTTGTTTGTAAACATTTGGGTAAATGCCCAAAAGTGGGATTGCTGGGTCATAGGGGAGCTCTATGTGAGGTTTTTTGAGGAACCTCCATACTGCTTTCCAAAGTGGTTGAACAAGTTTATACTCCCACCAACAGTGCAGTAGGGTTCTTAAGGAAGGACATTTACTGTGTATCTCTTCAGTAATTTGCAGCGAGAACAAAGAAAGGAAAAAGGACCAATCCATATGGAGCCTGAAGTTATTTGTATCCTTGAAAAAGAACAGAGTAGGATAAGTTCATATGGTTGAAAGTAATTATAAAATCATCTACAGAATCTCAAACCAGAATGTTATAGGGGTTGTTTTACATTAGACAGACCAAATCCATTAACAGGATGGATTATGTTAACACTGAATCCCCAGTACATAGCAAAAGTCCTAGCACATAGAAGGTGCTCAGGAAGCATCTCGAATAAATCTGAATAAATCATATATTTTGTTAATGGTTGTTAGCGAGATGAGCTCCCTTCCCATAGCTTAGTCCACTCCTTCCCCTTAGCATGTTCCCATCCTAGGGAAAAGTAGGACCATTTACCAAAGGCAGTAATCAGCCTCCAACCCCCTTTATCTTGGGATGGCACTTCTCTGGAGCAGCTACCACCACATAAGGCAACAGGAGCTACTTATAGTGACCTTCAGGTCTGGGCAGCTGCAGGACCCTTATCTACTATTTGGACAGAAGCCATAAATCCTAGTCCGCCATAATGAAGCCCCTGGCCCTCATGTCCACACCAGGGTCTCCGCCTCCTAGCCCCTTCTAAACCTCCTAGGTTACATAGGTCACCTCAGACAATAGCAGGTGCTTCTTTTCACTTCTCGCTTGTGAGAAGGAGTCTTGCCAACCCCTTTCCCCGCAATAAACCTTTCTTTGTTCTCTGTTCCTGGATGTCTGTGTGGTTTTCTGGCAAAATCCAAATAATCTAACAATGGTGTAACTGGTCTTTATGTCTTAAAATCAGATAATATAATACTGAAACCCTTCCCCCCTCCCAAGATTGTTCATCCCAATTAACTCATTTTATGGTTAAAAAATAGAAAACCTCCCAAGCATTCAGGAATGCCATTGCTGGGCACAAGACCTGATTTGTGGATATCAGTTGTGATTCCACTCAGTATGAATGAACCTTAGACTATGTTCAGTGAGGAACATTTCATCTCAGTATTTCCACCTACCACTTTTACCTAATCAAAGGGTTACATCAAATTCCACTTTAGAAGTTGGTTTGAGCTGTCTGTACTTAGAAGCTACTTTGAGCAGCTTTCTGTTAATTCAAAGGGACAAGAGTTAAACTGTTGGTATGGTATGCTAGATACAGAAATAAATAATATAAAATATCAGTAGTAACTTGGAATGTCTCTGATGTCAGATAATACTTTGCACTAGACTCTAGGTTGGCAATTAGAGCCTGTGGGCCAACTTTGACTTGCTTTTTGCTTTTTTGGTGGTACTTGGGTTTGAACTCAGCACCTTGTGATTGCCAAGCAGGTGCTCTACCACTTTAGCCATATCCCTGCTTTTCATCTGTAGATAAAGGTTTTTTTTTTGTTGTTTTTGGCTTAAATTCAGGGCCTGAGTGCTGTCCCTGAGCTTTTTTTGCTCAATGCTAGAACTCTACCACTTGAGCCGCAGCTTCACTTCTGGCTTTTTGGGGATTAATTGGACATTAGAGTCTCATGGACTTTCCTATCCTAGCTGGTTTCAAACTGTGATCCTCTGATCTCAGCCTCCTGAGTAAGCTAGGATTATAGGTGTGGGCCACTAGCTCATGGCTTGTAGATAAACTTTTACTGGAACACATCCATGTCTATTTACTCATTTATTGTTCCTATTTTCATGGCATAGTGGTGGCTTACAAGTCCTAAAAATGTGCTGACTATATATAAAAATGTTTGTTGACTTCTGTGCTCAACACTATATTTAGTATGTACAACTACTTGGGAAGCAGATGATATTATCTGTGCAAGGATTTGGAATAGTAAGCAACCTGGTCAGATTATATGTTAATCCTAGGCCTAGCTGGGACCCAAACCAGAAGACCCAACACCCAAGTCAGGTTCTTTGTTCTCTGTCCTGCTCTATTATTGAGTTCTGTATCTCTAGGTGCAAATTACAAATTTTCAAAGACATAAAGAATACAACATAATTCAAATTACAGAAAGTAGATTCTCAGAGTTCATGTATGATTTTCTGATATGGGTCTCTTTTTTGAAGACGGTTCATTTAGGCGTGTGCTCATGTGGTTGACTTTCTTTTGTTGTGGTAACCTTTTTCCACAGTGGTAGATCCTGAAGCCATAAGGGCTCAAGTTAGTAATGTAAATAAATGAAGCTTGCCAACTGTACTACTGTTAGGAAGGAAGACAGTGGCAAACTGGAATATAGATATCCTTCCCAAATGGGACAGCTGGTCCTCTACATAAACATATGTGCCTAGCAGGAAGATTATGCTAGCTAGCATAATCTACACTACATAATTGACACTACAATGTTCAGTTGTTATTGACAATGATGAAATTTGGATTCTTTGCAGCTAAATCCTTACTCCAAAATAAAAATAAAGTAGCAAAACATGGACTTGCAATCCAAACTGTGAATATAGTTATTTCTGTATGCAAATACAGTTATTTCTTTTCTTAATTAATGGTGGGACCAGTATAAAGATAACCTAGAACAAAATTGCATTTGTGATGTTGTCATCATTTTATTCAAATATGGATTACATTACATAGTTTGCTAGAGTTGGGTTTTCATTATATGGATTGAGAAAGGATAAAGTAGCTTGGATAAAGAATTGTGCCTCACAAAAATCAAGAACTCTAACAACAGATGCTGGAGGGGATGTGGACAGAAGGGAACCTTACTTCATTGTTGGTGGGAGTGTAAACTTGTTCAACCACTTTGGAAAGCAGTATGGAGGTTCCTCAAAAGACTTCACATAGAACTCCCCTATGACCCAGCAATCCCACTTTTGGGCATTTACCCAAATGTTTACAAACAAGACCACACTAAAGCTACCAGCACAACTATGTTTATTGCAGCATTATTTACCATAGCCAAGATATGGAACCCACCCAGATGCCCCTCAGTAGATGAATGGATCAAGAAAATGTGGTATATATACACAATGGAATTCTATGCCTCCATCAGAAAGAATGACATTGTCCCATTTGTTAGGAAATGGAAAAACTTGGAAAAAATTATATTAAGTGAAGTAAGCCAAGCCTAAAGAAACATAGGTCCCATGGTTTCCCTTATTTGCAATATCTAGTATATGTATGAGTCAAGCAGAAAAGGTCAGATAATGTGATGTTAGGAAAATGAACCCTTAGATATGTATTTAAAGGTATTTTTCTTTCATGCGATTGTTTCTAACACATTTATAAGATTATTTCTTTGTTGCTTTGTATGTCCCTCCCCCACAGTATAACCCCTGCTTTCACTATATTTGATGTCGGTATAATTTGTGGAGGAGATGGGGAAAAACAAGTTGTTTAAGGATACAGGTGGACCAGTTGCAACAATGAGAAGTACAAGTTGTCATGTCGAAAATGAACTTTACAACTTTGGTGTGGGGGCGGGGGGGGGTTGGCGGGAAAGATTGGGTGGGTGGGGGGAGGCTGGGAAGGGATGTGAAGGGTAAACAAAGGAGAAGGCTGCAATGCTTGATAAGAAATGTACTCATTATCTTGCCCACGTAATTGTAACCCCTCTGTACAGTATGTTTACAAAAAATAAAAATAATTTAAAAAAAAGAAAAAAAAGAATTGTGCCTCAAAAAATTTCAATGACACATAAAGCTCTTGACAGCCATGGAGTTCTGAGGAAGATGGATACATGCAAATCATTCTCTGGAGGTAGGTGTGTGTGGTGTGTGTGTGAGTGTGTGTGTGTGGTGTGTGTGTGCATGCTGGATCTGGGGCTGGTACTAGGGCTTGATCTTTGGGCCTCACACTTTTGCTCAGCTTGCTTTATAAACACTGCTTCATTTATCATTATAGGCAACTTTATAGAGTACATGGTAGTCTTAATTTTACAGATGAGTGAATAAAATGTGTGTATTTCTTTTTCTTTGTGGTGGTGCCAGTGCTTGAATCCAGGGCCTTGAGCTCTTGCTCAGTTTTCTTGCTCACATATGGTGTTTTACCACTTATGCCACACCTCTAGTATGGCAATTGACTCGTTAATTGGAAATGGAGTCTTGCAGAATTTGCTGCCCAAGCAGACTTCGAACCATTATCCTCCATTATCCTATTAAGTAGCTAGGATTACAGGCATGAGCCACCAGGATCTGGTTTCTTTGGCGCATTTCAACTGTTGGAATTACATGCTGTTTCCAAACCTATTGACAACTATTTTCTATTACTTCCTACTTTCATTAAAACATGAAAATTTAGACAATGATAAAGTTTTTATAATGGAAAAATAAAAAGAATGAATTTTATTGTTTTTGCAAAGAAGTCAATTTAGCCAAGAAAATGGGAGTGTAATAAATATTTAAAATAAATTTTACTTTTCTGATAACGTGTTAGAGCTTGTTTAGAGTTTCCTAGCCCATAGAAAATATCCTTTTGGACAAAGGCACATCAGTTTACTTTGAAATCCTATATCTTTAGAGGATGGTGTCTTTGTTACAAATATTGTTAGCTGATGTAACTAGATAACCTAACAAATTATCTTAGCCACCAAAATGGCTCAAAACTGACTGTTTACATCAAGCACAAATGATTTTATATACATAATGGACATATTTACCTATTTATTTTTGGCACTAGGGTTTGAAATCAGGGTCTTAAAGTTGCTAGTATGAGTTCTACCACTTAAGTCATAACCCAGTTCTCTAGTATTGTTTTGGATAGAGACTCATGTTTTGCCTGGGGTCAGACTCAGACTCAGTCTCAAATCCTCCTACCAACATCCTCCTTTATAGTCAGATATACCAATATATGGCTTATTTGTTGGGATGAGAAGTTCCTCTAACTTTAGCCTAGGCTGGCTTTCAACTGCAGTCTTCTTGGTCTCTTCCTCCAAGTAGCTGAGATTATAGGTGTAAAGCACCATGCCTAGCTTACATCATAGATTTATCTATTACAGTTACATATAAATTAGTTTACCAACTATACAGATCAATGAACCCAAAATAATGAGCAGATAATGTGACACTTGCTGTTGTCATTACTTACATGCATGTTAGTTAAGATTCTAAAACATTCATTCATTTTTTTATGTCTTTGAAAACCATGCTGTCTCTGTAAGTTGCTTTTTGTAAAGGAGAAATGTTGCTAGAAAGGTAGGTGCAAAATGAAATTGTGCTGGCTCTAAAGTTTTCTCTCCCATTGGTCTTTATTATAAAACTGAACAGGAAGCTCTACTGAAAATAACCCATTCTTCTGTTGGAATTCCATTGAGTCTATATACCATATTTTCTCTATCCATTCATCCATTGAGGGACATCTGAGTTGGTTCATATCTTAGCTATGGTAAACATGTAATGAACATTGTTGTGCTAGTAGCTTTAGTGCGGCCTTGTTTGTGAGCTATTGGAAAAATGCCCAGGAGTGCAATTGCTGCTTTCAAGAGTGATTGAATAAATATACATTCCCACCAACAAAGTAGCAGCATTCCCTTTTGGCCACATCCCTGCCAGTATCTGTTATTGTTAGTTTTCTTGATAGTGGCCATTCTAACTGGGGGGAGGGAGGTGAAACCTCATTATTGTTTTGATTTGCAAAGACTGGGAAAAATTACATTAAATGAAGTATGACAGACCCAAAGAAACACACTTTGCAGGTTTGCTTCATTTGTTGTAACTAGAATGTGCCTAGCAATCTACAATTAAATGCACTGGGTGGTAAAACACAAAAAACACACTTGGATATAATATACAGGATTCTAGACATTCACACAGTGAGATGATATAAGGCTCAATAGCTACATGCATATGATCATATAAATGATATTTATCAAAATGAACTCCAAGAAATGGAAAGGAAGGGTTTTTTTGGGCTATTTTTCTTCTCCTTTGTTGCTGTTTATGTTTTCTATATCATCTGCCTTGTTTATAAGGGGGAGAACAGAAATGATGGGACAAAGGGTGAACAAATGCAGCAGTGATCCTTATTAGAACTATGTTGAAAATGAACTATACAACTTGTGGGTGGGGACAGAAAGGGAAAACTGTGAGACAGTAAGGGAAGGGGTGACACTATTTAAAAGAAATGTACTCATTACCTGACATATAACTGTAACCCCTCACCTTTACAATAACAATAAAAAAGAACAGAAAATAATCCATCCTTTATTGAGTTGGAGACTGACAGCATATCTGATGGGAATGTCATTACTATAATTCTCTGATAAGATAAATCAATCTTTAAATTTACAAATGTAAAATTACTTGAAAGAAAGTTAAAATCTTATGCAATATGTTTATTTTACTCCTGGTTTGATTTGTAGGTGCTTCTTAGCTTTATGTGGGTTGACTGGAACTGTAGGATTTCCAAAGACACAGGACTTGCAATGCAAAAATCAGAAGAGTCTCAGACAACCTGCGAGTGGTAGGGACCTTAGCTCTAGGATTGCGAGACTATACTAGTTGAGGATTGTGACTAACCCATGAGACTTAAAAAAATCCTAAATCTATGAAACTATATTTCCTGTAGTGTGGACAAAGTTTCTTTCAAAAGCTGAGGATAAAAGTTTACTGGGCTAATTAAAATCTCACTTATGACGAACAAGAGAAATATCACGTAATATATAGAAACACGTGGAGACAGCTAAAGAACTCACAAAATATACCAAAGAAGATTATTTCAGACCTACCTTTGTTGTTTAGAAAATATGACTACAAATAGAATTGCTGTTAGCCCAAATATTCCAAAAATTGTAGTGAGGAACCATGGAAACTCTAAGTCTGGAACACAAAAAAATTTGTTTTTTTTTTAGAACTATGAATAACTGGTTGAAGCTAAGTTTACATTTCGCTATCTTTCTCCATGTAAAAGCAGTCGTTAGTGAATTCACCTAGTAAAGTCAGTAATCTCAGTTGATAATTGAGGAAACAGAATGGAATGAATTAGGATCTTTTGTTATAAACACATTATTCAATTATTAAAATATATGTTATTTGAATGTTTTCACACTAAATATCCTTCAAAGTGAAGAATATACAGTTTAAACCCACTATATGCTTAAAATATCCTAACTGCTTTCATAATCTTATACATCATAAAAGCAATAGGGTATCATTGCTTCGGCTCTAGGTAAAAACATTGTTTTATAAAGTAAATAAGATCTACTTAAATCCTTTTTATCTGAGCATGGTAATATTTTTCTAGCTTCCAAGTTAAGGATCTATCATAAATATAAAGACAGTACTTGTGTATGTGTGTGTGTGTGTGTGGTGTGTGTGTGGTGTGTGTGTGTGTGTGGTGTGTGTGTGTGTGCGTGTGGTGTGTGTGTGTGGTGTGTGTGTGGTGTGTGGTGTGTGTGTGGTGTGTGTGTGTGTGGTGTGTGTGCGTGTGGTGTGTGTGTCTGGTGTGTGTGTGTGTGTCTGGTGTGTGTGTGTGTGGTGTATGTGTGTGTGTGGAGTGTGTGTGTGTGGCGTGTGTGTGTGTCTGGTGTGTGTGTGGTGTGTGTGTGTGGTGTGTGTGTGTGGTGTGTGTGTGGTGTGT